CGACCGCCTCGAGCAGTTCGGGCTCCGGCTGAACCTAAAGAAGTCCGAATACCTGACCACTGACAACGAAACGACAGGCTCCATCCACGTGAACGGGCAGGAGCTACCGCGCGCCTCCACCTTCAAGTACCTGGGAACTACTCTTGGGGAAGAAGGCCTACTACAAACTGAGGTGGCAGCCAGGATCAACGCAGCGTGGGGCAAATGGAAGTCCGTCACGGGCGTCCTCTGTGACAAGAAGATGCCGATGCGTCTGAAGGCGAAAATCTATAACTCTGTGGTGCGCCCCGTGGCCATATACGGCGCAGAGTGCTGGCCGACGACCAAAGAAGTTGATTTTTTTCCACCTCATCTGCTTTGAGTGCCGCACAACAGCAGGATAAGGGGAACGCTCACCGGAGTCGGTGATTTGTAAATAGTGTGCACACACGCATGCAAAGCGTGCAGGCACACCCAAAGCACATGCTCACCGAACCGGTTGTTATGTCGGTAAGATCCCACCCCTGTAAACCACTCCAGAGAGGGCTATAAAGCACCATGGATGTGGTATATACTCCGTTTCCCCAAAAATACGACCTTCCCTAAAAGTATGTCCTAGCTTTTACACGTGCTCCCGATATAAGCCCTAACCCCAAAATAAGCCCTAATTAAGATCCTACCCACTCTAGGGTAGACGGGTAAAAATTAAGCTATGGGGGGATGGAGCTGACCTACTACTTATCTTTGGGCAGTTGTAGCCAGGCCTCGCACACCCGACATCTGCCCTGCTGGCTCATTGGTTCTGCAGCCAGCAAGGCTGGCAAGGCTTTCCTGAAGGCCTCTGGAGCCGATAACAAAGCTCTGGATCGATCCAGAGCTCCATTATCCCCTGCAGAGGCTTTCAGGAAAGCCTTGCTGGCCGCAGAAGAAGAAGTTCCTGAAGGCCTCGGACAGCGAAAAGGAGGCCGGGGTGACGCATGTAAGTGAGGTTAGTCAGTGGAAGAACATCCCCTGAAAATAAGACCTGGCGCCTTTTTGGTGGCGACAAAAATATAAGACAGGGTCTTATTTTCAGGGGAAACACGGTCATTCTAAGTCTTATTGCTCAGCAGTGGAAATTTTGGGTTGAGTTGTGATTGTAAGTCCCGGACTGCATGTATAAGGCTTTAGGCTAGAAGACCTCCAAAGTCCTATGATTCTAGGCGTGTTCCTCGATTCCCTTCCTCTCTCTTCCCGCCAAAGTGATGTCTTCTCTTCCTTCCTCCTTCCAGGGACCACGGGATCATCCGCACGCTGGACTTGCCCATCTACGTGACCCGCGTGAAGGGCAACAACGTCTACTGCCTTGACCGCGAATGCCGACCCCGCGTCCTCACCATTGACCCCACGGAGTTCAAGTTCAAGCTGGCCCTGATCAACCGGAAATACGATGAGGTGGGTTGGGGGAAGGATGGTGCGCTTGGTAGAACTTGCCTGTTTCTTTTTCTTTCCCTGGGATTGTTGGAGTCCCAACATGGCTCTTCTATAGCCATCTAAGTGACTCAGAGGATTATGAGAATCGTAGTAAGGCACCTTGGAGTCCTGGAGAAACTATAAGTCTAACTGTCAGCATTCTAATAAAACCCAACTCCAACCAAAAACTCCAAGACAGGCATTTCCTCAAAGTTTCCTTTTATTAGAGTAGTGTTCTGACCAAGGTTTCCCGAGACCGTAATTAAGTACATGCTTAGTTAAAACAACTCTTTGTTTTATTTCAACGCTGGGAATTAAGTTCATTTCTAGCCGGTAATGAGTCCCAAACAGTTCCTCAAGATAAGCACCCACCTTTCTCTCCTTTGAATTGCTGCCAACCACTAGAGTGCCAAATTAATTATAAAAAAACCAATTGAAGTTACAAAGTCCACACAGAGCTTCAAGGAATAATCCAAACAGAGCAAACGACTTTGCTTCCTGCAAAGGGTTTCCTACCTTTGTACTTCCTTTATACCTTATGGGAGGGGCAATCACCTCCCAGCCTTACTCCCAAGTCGCCCCTTTTGTTTCAGCTGCCTCTCACCTTCTAGCAGCTCTTTGCACACGCGCACTGGGAACAGGCTCCCCTGGGTCCTCTTCCTCGCTGCTGCCAGATTCTGGAGGCTCCAGAGGCAGCACCCCACTCCCAGATGGTCCCGTCCCCTTCCTTGCGTCGAACGCAGGACCCTCGTCCAAGTCCTCTCCAGACTCCCGGTCCCTGTCCTTCCCCACTGTCCGGTTCCGCTGCCGTCTGCACAGGCTTCCTGTGAACTACAACAAGTAGTCATACTGGCACATCTGGGAAAACCTGAATCTTAAAGTTCCAGGTTTCCCTCCAATAAGTAAAAAAATTACAAATCCATCACATGCCCCAATCACGATCTGTCCCAACTTGAGACACCCCCTCTACTACCCTTCCTCCAGGTGCAGAAATAACATGACCTTGAATGTAAAGAAAAGTGCTATTATGTCTAACCACATACATCCGCTCCATGAAATTCCCCCCTCCCAACTTCCCACGCTCAAGAATGTGGCAGCGTGGAAGCCTCTGGTGCTAATACGGCTTCCAAAGCTGTGATACTAGCAAAGAATGTACCTTAATACCTTAAAGCCGTGTTTCTCAACCTGGACAACTTTTAAGATGTGTGGACTACAACTCCCAGAATTCCGCAGCCAGCATAGTCCACACCAATTAAAAGTTGCCCAGGTTGAGAAACACGGCATGAAAGAGTGACTTTGGGGAGGTGATAATCATTAGGATTGAGGATTTTAAGTCTCTCTACCACATGGCAAACTAGGGATTTATTTTAGAACTGATTTCACACACGCACACACAAAATCCATCCCTGGTTTCTTGATCAAACTTTTAATCACCTAATTTAGCTCATTTGGGAGGAAAAGCCCTGTTTTAGCTTTGCTTTATTAAACTGTTTGAAAGGATAAAACCTTATGGTGTCATGCCCCTGTTGGAATCTGATTTGGAGGGGGAGGCCGAGCAGCTGACAGGGAATGGGAGTGTGGCTCTGGTGGCTGTGGAGGAAACTGGGGAAGGCACAATCCAGCCGGGCGAAAGTAGGGAAGGGGTAGAACAAGGGAGAGGGAGTTCAGAGGAAGACCCAGGCCCAGCCCCTCTTATCCTAGGGCACACAGGGGAGGAGCGGAGAAGGGAGCAACATGAGTTGCGTGGGTTACAGGGGAGGAAAGGGCCCTGATTCCCTTCATTAGCTGCAGCTTGGGAACGCAGTGTATAAAAGAGGAAGCTGCGCACAGCAAGTTGTTGGAAGCAAATTGTGAATTATCTGGTATCATTGTGGCTTATCTGTGTTCCTGGCGTCTTCCCAACTCTGTGAGTTTTGGCTGCGCTTTCAAGTCTTAAATTCCTTCTCCTGCCCTCTCAAGCTAATTACTTCAATTTGGTTTGTTGGGACTTTAAGTTACAGTTTGTGTTGCTCATGTTTTGGACTGAATTTCCTGCAGTCAAAGGAAGAGTTTTTCCTCCAGCCAGAAGGTAACCAGGACACTGTGGGCAAAGTTGGAGATAAATAACGGGACTCTTCTTGCCTCTTTGACTGTGTGGCCTTTGTGCCACGCCCCTTGGGGTCCTCACAGATGGATCTTTGGATGACCCACCTGTGACCTCCAGTTTATTGGACGAAATGTAGAGTGACGTGCAACATCTAAACCTCGATTGTTTTTTTTTCACTCTGGAGGTCCTGCACATGGTGCGTAACGCCAAGCTAGTGGGCCAGTCCATCATAGCTTACCTGCAGAGGAAGGGCTATCCCGAAGTGGCGCTGCATTTCGTGAAGGACGAGAAGACGCGGTTCAGCCTGGCTCTTGAATGCGGCAACATTGAGGTGGGTTTCTGCGTAAAAGGCAAAAAGGGCTCCCAGGTGCCTCTGTTTGCATTCTATCAAGATTCCCGGGGCGTGGGCAGCCCTTCATTTGGGGGCTTGTGCAAGCAGAACGACGATAAGAGTTTAATCTGCCTCTGCCATTGTTTTTATCTCTCTCTTTTTAACTGTTATTGGGGAACCAGTTTGTCTTGTGGTTAAATCGCCAGGCTAGAAAACAGGAGACTTGAGAGTTCTGGACCTGCCTTTTTCCTGCTGAGCGGCTTTGAGTCAATCACCAGAAAAAAAGGGAGGGGAAGGGAGGGAAGGAAGGGAGGAACAGGAGGGAGAAAGGAAGGAAGGAAGGAA